GCCAGGCAGGCAAAGGAAAATCTTATATCCGTGGACTAACCAGGTTTACAAGGACAATGGTTAGTGATCTTTGTTCTGGTTATCACCTCAGTTGGTAAAACTTACAAGTGGATACCTATGCCAGTAATCTCTTCCTTGAATTGCTTGCAGATGCTTGTCTTTATAATCAGCCCTTTCTGAGTGTAGTTATGCTCAGAGGAAGGAAAGTGTTTGTGACATCAGTTATATTGAGATGGCTGCAGTGGTTCTGTGTTGGATGATACACAAAATAATTACTTTAAGAATTAACATCTGGAAGGGAGATTATGAGCGTGAAAAATACTGGTTATTTACATCAGGAATTTATAAAGCATATAAATTCTGGATTAGATAAATATTTCAAGAAAAGATAATAACTTTAGTGTTTAAATTTATTGTAAGAAATACAAATAATTATGAATTACAAAAGACAACCACAATGCATAGTAACACAATACATACACATATGATAGAAATAATCACAGAACAGAAAAATGAAATGAGGACTATTACTTCCCAGTAGGAGTTTGCTTGGAAGCTTCTAAATTATTCTATAAACTTAATTCACACTAGTAGATTTTATATAGTCACTCAGGAACAAAACGTACCAAACTCTTCTGTTTTCCATGATGATGACTGATGTGTCACCAAAAGAGCAGAAAGAATATAGAAAAAATAAAACTAATGTAAAAAGATGGTGCCATGAATTATTATGTTCAAACTGCTTAGTTCTCCTAGCTATATAATTTCTACCCCATCCTGAGTCAGGCATAATCTGTCATCTAACATATGTGCTATGCCACATCTTCCAGTCTTGAATTGTGGAAGTTTTGATTACACAGGTAGATTATCTTGTCTATTTATTTGCATTAAAAGCGCAATCTGGTTTTGATTACTTTAGCTGTAGATCTTAAACACATTCTTACAGCTACTGCTTTTTCAGACTTCATGTCTTTGTAACTAACGTCATCTACCGCAGAAGAAAAAGCTTTACATGTCATTAAAATTGGTTTGTAGCTGTACAGTTTTTGTTAGCCCACAAAATTAGACTAGATTTGAAATACAGTCAGACTATCTAACACCAGCAGACTAGTGACTGAAAACTTTGATACTTTTTATGTTATGCCAAAGGCAAATAGTTTACTGCTTTTTGGCTTGTGAAATGGTTACTGTATGCAACTGAACAGGCAGGGTACAGAAGAATGAAAAAGTTACCACCAGACACAGTGAACTTACAGACCGTCAGATTAACAGAGTCACTTTTGTTACTCCAGCCATTCTACACCAGCCATTCTTAGTCAATTATTCTTTAATGCTGCAGTCACAGATGTTGTTTTAATCCAGGAGTGGAGGCAGGTTTTTCCTCCAGAATGGTTGTGCGGCTGCACTCTCTAGCTTACGTACATTACTTAAAGTGAGGTATGTCAACCAGACTTTTCTGATAGCGCAGCATAATTTTTCCTGTTTCTCCAGTTGTTTTACAGTGCCCCAAAGGGTCACTAGATATTAACAGTTAATAGGCCTGTTTTTTCATGTTTCTTAGGTGCGAAAAGTTGATGCTCCAAAGGATCAGATGGACAAAGAATGGGATGAATTTCAAAAGGCAATGCGACAGGTCAACACAGTAAGTAATGGAATCTATTTTTATTGATTCTAAATACTATACACAATATAACAACAGTTTCATGCAGCTCTGCAGAATGACTGACATCTGCATTTGTCAGCTGTTTGTTTCGATGCAGTGTGTGGTTAAATGCACTTTATAAATGAGCAAAGGGTTCCTTCTATTTCCCACTTAAAAGAAAACTAAGTTGAAAAACTTTTAGTCAGGATCCAGTCAGCAGTATGTATCTATTTACATTTGTTAAAGTGTATTTAAATAAGATAGCATATACCTCAGATCAGCATCTGCATCCAAACAGGATGCAATTGTGAGCTCTTCTCTAGATCTAGAGATATATCCATATTTTAACCTGGACAAACACAGAACAAAACACCACCCATTTGTCTGCCTTTTTCAAAAGTTATCTATAAAGTGTAGGTAACCTGGGTTTCATGGTTAATTAAAATGTACTGGAAAGGAACCTCAAAATTTGGAAAAGTGACAAAAGAGTTTGTGAGTGAGACATGTAAATTGGCCACAGTTTTTCTGTATTTCCATTTTTTACTGGTTAGCATTGCATGGAAAGTCTTCCCGCAGCAGGTTTTTATCTGCCCTTTTGTACAACATAAAACTGTACTAGAGATATTTGGTGTTCTCAGTCTTCCCCTAGAGTATTTGCTGTTTCCTTTTGTTTAAATTTTAATTGTAAGTATGTCCACTGCTAAGAAAAGTGGTGCAGAAAAATTTCTCATTGCTCATTTTAAAGCAGTCAGCACTATAAACAGAGCGAATGTTCATACAAAAGCGGTGGTGGATACATTTTGCTAGCATAAGCCATTCAGATAATTCTTCAGCTTAGGAGGAATCTTCTCAGTTATGCGTGGACCATTGATTGCATAGCATCTCCCAGACATTCAGATTTGAGAAAGTATATGCTGAAAAAAATAACAGGTTAGAAACACTTCGGGATCTAGCGGGAATATTTAAGCAATATGTTCAATAAGTGTGTGTAATTTAGTCCCAAGTGTTGGGATAGAGCTCCTGTTTCAACCTCAGACTTTGGATGTGTGCAGTTTGTTTATGCTCAGTTTCAAATCGTAGCGTATTGAAAAATTCAAAAGGTTAACCCCAAAGCAGCCAAACTACTTTTACTTTTGAGCAAAAACATTCCCATTTCAAATTAAACCAGACTCTTTTTTTTTTTTTTCTGTATTTGCCCTTGTGAAGGTGGGAGTATAAGTATTAGGAGATTGACACTGACTTGAGGTAGAGGGGAGGGGAAGACATAGACATCATAAAGGAACAGAAGTGGAATTCAGGACAAAGGTGGATTTTCTTAGTGCTTTTCTGGTTTAGATTTCAGAAGCAATAGTGGCAGAAGATGATGAGGAGGGACGACTAGATCGCCAGATTGAAGAAATTGATGAGCAGATGTAAGTAGATCAATTTTTCCTCAAACTCTCTGTTCTCCAGCAGTAATGGACTGCTAGTTGACTAGAGTGATGAAAACATCTTTAATTGTAATCTGTGACACTACTTTCATTAATCACCTAAATATTTAAAGGACAGACTCCCTCAAATTGCAGAGTGATACCTAATAAAAACATGAATTTTGGTGCAAAGTTATGTAACTTTTTCCGAAAAGATAATGCACTGGAATCACTGAAACTACAGAAGGCAAATTCTTGGAACAGTCCCCCTTCCCCCTGTCAAATGCCTTAATTTGTATTTCTATGGGAATTTTGATTGATGTCGAATCTATGTGAACATTTTAAAAAAACAAGGTCTGATACTCTGCACTGCAATCAAAATTTCAACAGGATTTGTTTTGACCATTCATGTGGTGTGCTGAAAACGTCCCCTTCTGTGCCAAACTCTTCACTTTTCTAGTAAAAGTTTACTTAAAGGTTTTCTTGAGTGGTGCACTACATTACATGAAGTGGTTTGGTTTGTTTTGTGTGGCAGCTGGATAAGCATTAGTTTAAACTCAAGTAACCTGAACTACAGCTTAGTGGAACAGATCGTTACCATTATCATGTGGCTTAACACGTTGATTAACAGTGATTATGGCAATGGTAGTGACTGAAGAGAAAAAGATGAATTCTGATTTTAATGAACCTTGCAACAAAAAGAAGACGCTAAAAATTAAAGCAACATGTAGGCCATCTGGGCAGATTTACATGCTACACATAATCAGCCTATAATAGCAATGGCATTGAGTTCAAAGTGAGCCATGGTATTACAGGAATGTGTTTTAACAGTGTTCATGTAATTCTAGAGAGGGCTTGAGCTAAACCTGCCTCTCTCTCTGAGGGTTCATTCATCTCAGTAGCTAAGGCTGCTATAGTATGTCGAACCAAATTCAGAGATTTGTAGAGAATTTCAAGTTTGTTACCATAATTATCCCCCCCACCCCCCCAAAAGAAAATTTCAAACAGATTTTAAAAGACTTTTTGTGGCCTTGTCTTCTGAGTGTATTTAAATGCAGGTTACTTCAAACTCGGATCAAAATCTGATTAATTCCAGGGACATTTCATGTTTTCAAATCTTCAGCTGTGACTGCCTGTAAATAATTGTATTGGAGGTATGCAAGGGGAAACAGGATCCAGATAGTAATCTTTCCTTGTCAACTGTTCTTAGCAAATAGGAATGAAAGGAGCAAAGATGTATTTAATCTGGCCAGTACTACTTGACATTTTCAACAAAATACCCTGTTTAAAATGGCTTAAATAATTGTTATAAAACATATTTCAAGGACAGAACTTTTTAGGTAAATGGAAAACCGAAACTTCTGGATTGCATTTGCTTCAAATATTCTGTTACAGCACGCAGGAAGCAGATGAAGAATCTGAACACTTGTGCTGCTTTTTTATTTTCAGAGATGCCACCACTAGGTTATCAAAATTGATAGCAAATGGATGCCTCAGCTTTCTACCATATATGAAAAGCGTAAGGGGAGTCAAGAATGGTGTCTCTTCTTGTGTGGGACTGGATATTGGTTCTGTGCTTTTTGCAGAATGATTTGTGGCGCTATTGCAGTTGTTAAATATTTGGATTAGATCTCATTGCTAGAGAACTGACCACACCTCTCCTCTCCTCCGGTGTGTTTCCACTTGATTAACATAGGGAAGGTGCACTAGCATCTTGAAAGCTTATTTTTATAATTGATGGGAAGCTGTAAAGTTTCTTTATCCAAAGTTGGAGAAACCAAACCCATCACTGTGCACAATCAGATTAATGTGGAAAGGCCACAAGGGTTAACAGGTGGTTTACTTCTCAACAGTGAATGTTATCGCCGCGTTGAGCTTTTGCGTAACCGACAGGACGAGATGAAGGAGACGTTAAAGGAAGCCATGAGATTAAGAGCAGCACAAGAGAAAGAGGAAGAGGATATTGGTAGTGAAGATGAAGAAGAACTGCAGGATTTGCTGTCTCAAGACTGGCGGGTGAAAGGGGCTTTGTTGTAGCATTTCTGCAACATAGTTGATATTCTTTTTATCAGTGACGTTACTTCCATTGTTAGAAGTGAGAAGCTTTTGTTAACTATTTATTTAAAGAGGATCACAAGATAATAAAGGGCCAAGGTATTAAAAAATAAAATCTTTGTTGATCTACAGTGGTGTATTACTTGCTGTAAAAACTGTATATTGCAAATGTTTTCCAATATTGGATGCACCTTTCCTATTAAAATTACTGGTTTCCTACCAGAAGTATTTTAATGGGATTAATAATTCTGTAAAGAACCTCTAAGTTTTTGGAGGCATTAGCTATACCTGGTAATTTTGAGACTTGGCTTATTGTGTATAGAAGTAAAGGACTTGCTTAGTCTTTAGAAAATTCCATGGACTTGAGTCCATGGAGTTTTCCCAGATTGGGGCGGGGTTAGGAAAATATTATGCATTTATGTTATCTTAAAATTTATAAGTGCTCTTCTGTCCACTGTCCCAGCTCCCAATAAAATATGTACATTTTTTTTCAGGATCTGTTACAGTTTCTCTGTATGTGTAAAGACTAAGCTCAGATACGCTGAGCTACACCTTCTCCACAGTGTACACTCTGTGATGTGTCATAGGGAGTGCTGAATGTTTTTCTTTATAGTATCCTGTTTTGCTTAGTGCAGCCATCACGTAGCATAACTCACATTTCTTGAACCAGAGGAATGGATGAAACACAGCAGTTACATATCTGCATAACTAAATCATAGAGTGACAGAATGCCAGAGAGGAAGGTACTGCACTGGAAACTGAGGAGGTACAGTAACTTCTTTAGCTGTAAATACTGGAAATATTCTTAAAATATTATGTTAAGTACAGAGAGCCTCTAAACTTGATTTCTCTTCTGATAAACACAGATTAAGTAAAATCAAGAACCAACAAACTTGACAAGCCTGGGACATGGAAAGCAGAACTACCCTGAGCTTTGGTAAGTGTCTCTTTTTTCTTTTTTTCTTTTTTTCTTTTCTTTTTTTACTGAATTATTTTTTACTTTTACAAATCTTGAAACATTTCAGATTTGCTGAGGACTTTGAAAAACCAGGAGAAATGTGTGGCTTGGCTTATATAAAAAAGTCGTGAAGGAACAGGTCAACATTTTGCTTTTTTTACAATTCTAGTTTTAAAACTAGTTAGTGAGATTTTAAAGGGAGAAAACAAGCCTTGCTCTCATGAGAGCATTCAGGTACTGCCTCAGATGTTTATTAACCAAGCAGTAAAGTTTAAAATTAAAGTTAGGTGTTGGATTTGCCTGTTTTGGACAAAAAACTTCATATGGTGGGATCCCTTTCTGTATTGTGAGATGGGGGTTTTTTGGGCCTCCTGAATTCCATGATCCTTGGGTTCAGCTCTTTATATGTATAAAGCTGTTAAAATTCAAGGAATGGTCTGTAGCAGTTTGGTGCATCCATGTATTCCTGCTCACATATGCTGCATTACTGCTGTTGGATTTTGGTTGATTTAAGAACCGTACGTGTAAGTAGCTGCTGCTGCTAAAAGGTTTGATGTAACACTGCAGTCTTACATGATTTGGTACTATCGTTGAGATAGCAAACATTCAGAGAGTATTGAAATACAGAATAAGTGTTCAGACAGTATTGAAATAAATAATGAATGTTAGGACAGGTTGGAGAAACTCAGTTGGGCTAAAACTAAAACAAAATGCCCTTCGATAGCTTGAAACATTTGAATATCGGTGTTTATGATGCTGCAGTGAAATACCTCTAGGTCTATATATCACTGTAAAGAGAATGTCCAGCTGAGAGGGTGGTACAGGATTAACAGATGGATGATAGTCTTTGTCACAACAAAACAGAAGATGTGCCCCCAATTTCCCTCTGAGAAGAGCCAAGCTGTTCCTAATTGTTCTGTTTATCTTTGCTTTTCACTGACCCCACTCACCAAAGCACACTAACTAGCCTGTTAACTCTGAGCTTCAGAACCACTCTCTGCATTTGGCTTCATATCAGAAAAATAGATGTGATTAATGTCAGGTTACACTGAGCATCATGGGCATGCATGTTTTGACAGTATACAAGTGTCAGTCTCTGAGTTTATAACTTCCATTTTGTACATATATCTGTAACTTTAATTTCGTACATGAATCTGCAAGTCATGGTTTCAGCTGCAGAGGAGTAGGAAATGAACTGAGCTTTGAAACAGTTCAGCTGTTTTGGTTCAGTTGCCCCATCTTTAGAGGTGTCTTGGGGTAAGAAGCTAAACGCAGTGAGTTTAGTTACAGTGCAGGGAGCTTATACGTTCAAATCCAAACCAATGCAGCCCAATGTTATTATTAGGAGTAGATGGCAGGAATCAATACCAGATCACTCAACATTCTATTCATTATCTTTGCATAAGCTGTTGAAAGGCGATGGACCAGGCAGTGGATGTAGGCATTGCTGGGGTAGTAACTGATGGTGTTGGTCCCTCTTGGTTGTTTCTTGTCTAGGAGTTGGTGTTCTTTTCCTTGGAGGAATCTCACAGATCTACAAATCGTGTTGTAACCAAGTTTTACAGAGCTTACTGTTTACAACTGTACATTTCTTCAGCATTTGAAAGAAAGTTTTTAGAGAGCTTTGTGAAGATGATGGGAGTGACTTTGCTATCTATGCCCTTTGTGACCATTGACATATATGTGCTGTTGTGTCAAGGAGGCAAGAAATCCTGTTTTAGCAATGGAAGTAGCATGGCTGTAAGGGAAAAGGTAATATCCTAACCTTGCTTAGTAGTCAAGCTAAGAAAAACATCAGCATAATTAGTTTATAATCTGTCTTCAGTTTTAGAAAGCAATGTTAAGTACTTCTGATGAGCTGTTCAGCCAGATGATTAACCAGAGCAAATAGTTGCTTCAAAAAATAGAGACTTCCTTAATTTCTTCCTTGAATTCTGTTTTTAAACAATTAAGATGAAAGTAGTCCTAATAACTATCTCCGTCCATAGCTGCTATTAAAAATGAAATTTTCATTGGAATTAAGAAGAATATTTAATTCTCGGATCTCTAGAACTTCCAGAAAACTGAAGAATCAGAAATAAGGGGGAAGACTTAACATTTGTAATCCTTATTTATTGATGTAATAATGGAGACTGTTGCCCAAACCTATGAACTGTGGAATTTTATGCCACCAGAAAGTAGTTGAGATTCCCCATCTCAGTGGTTTTGAAACTGGTAAGTAACTTCCAGGGCCAGAATGGGTGTGCATGTGTGTGTTTTCATGATTGAAATGGAGTTCCAAGTAACAGCTCTGCAGGGAGCAGCTAACTACAGCTACAGCTGCCAGCTGGTGACAGTTAGCTCTTCTCTGGCAAGTGCAGTCAGTCACAAATGGCAATGAGTGTGCTAGCTTCTCTCCTGCCCTGGAAGAAATAAGCTGCTGCTGTCATGACTTAGAAGCAGATGTGGAGAAAGGTCTGTATCTGGTAAAAAGGAGCTCAAAAGTGACTGTACCAAAACAACCAAACCAAAATAACAACAAACCAAACAATGTTCTCATTTGTTAACATGATTGTAATTCCTCCACTGCAACATATAACTTTAAAATTTGTTTCAGAATTGCAAATACTGATCAAAAAGAACATTGACATTAGCTTTGGCCAGGCCCCCTGCCAATAATTCAATTTGAGCAGAGACAAATTTTGCTCATTACATGCCACTATAAATAAATCATCTGCATTTTATCATCTTAAAAACACTGAGCTAGAAATAGGTCTCATGAGAAAAATCATATTACTCAAATATTTTCAGCACTAAAAATACTTTCTTCTTATAATCAATAAAGCTTGTACTAGAAAATCAGACATTGTAGGAATCACGTTGTTGCTGTCATGAGCAACCATAATGTATGTAATGCTACAGAAATTCCCTTTTGTTAGGTACCATCAAATGATTTTGACACTTCTCTTTGATTTCAGTTACTGTCTTATGACATATGCCAGTCTGTAGAGTGACAGGACACATGCATTGATGCAGAAACTGATTTAATCAACATTACTGTGTTCCTTCCTGGAACCAAGGAATTAAGTACACCTCAGTGCCAAGAACGGCGGGATGTGCTTGTACCCATAGAAAGTGTTGCTCAGGCCAAGAGATTGAAATTTTCAGGTGTGAAGGAGTGTTTCAGTATCTGCCTTCATTTGATCTTCAGTTCATCACTTCGGTTAGAACTATCCTGGCCTGATAGCTGTGAAAAGAAATGTGAGCAGTTCCTTTGTGTAGACATCTAAACCAGGTGTTCCACAAATATAGTGGAGATATTAATGCCTTGCACAATTAGTGGTTACAGCAGTTACAGAGGGTATAAGACATCTCTGTCAAATCCCTCCTCTCTGTGCTGTCCTTTGAACATACACTTTGTGTGATCTGGTTGAGCAGCCTAACGATTCCAGTCTCTTCCTGTAGAAGCTGTTCCACTGTAAAGTGACTGGATTAGTAAGCATATGTGACTTTGTTGTTCCAATAATTGTGGCACTCATCTGAGAAGGGGAATGTCCTGTTCCAAGTGCATAAATAGTGCTGAAATACATTCAGCTGAGATTGAGGCAATGGGAGAAACTGGATTTGGATCTTCCCCATCTTACAGAAGTGTTCTTGTTTTCATACTGCTGGGTATTTAAAAATAAAAGCAACAGGGACATTTCCATTTCTGCCTGGTGTGGGTGGGGAAGGTTCAGCACATGCTTTAAGACTGTCTTGTAAAGCTGACAGGAACACCTTGCCCATGCAGCCTGCTGAGGATGAGGCACTTTCTGGGTGCCTACATTGATGGCACCACTGAGATTTATGTTGTTAGCTTCTTAGAAGTCTTGACTGGTACAAACATGCACCATGGGGCCCACAGAAGCCTTCTGACTATGCCTGAGAATAGAAAGCACTCTGCATTTTGCTAGTGGACTAACTTTGTTTCCCTTCTGGTTGACTGTTCCAGCCAGCATTCATACTTTCTCTTTTTTTCACTTGAGAAACAGAACAGAGCTGCTTGAATTCATTGGAGATACTTGCCAGAAGCCTAGTACCAATTTGATGATGTGAAAGCTGCAGAACTTGTGCTGTCTTTCATTTGGAAACTCACAGTTGAGTGGCCAGTGACCTTTTCACATTGGGTACATGCTGCCTCTTATCTACCTTTGGGCATGAGTGGTTTAGTTTCTATCTTGGATAATAATTTATTTTTTTTTACTTTTTTTTCTCCTCCAGATGTACCTTCTTGCATTTTGTTTGCCTGTTCTGTATATTAAAGCTATTCAGGAGCTTTTTCTTGCCATTCAGGAATATTTTCCAATTAAAATAATGAAATTAAAATGAGTCCTCAATTACCCTAGATTTTTATCACATTTTTGCCTGTATTTTTTGCAAAAACCCTCTCAAAAGACTTCCTTTCTTTGTCCATGTGTCTTTATTTTACCTTGTGCCCCTGCACTAATTTGTTTAAATCTCAGTCTTTTCTAGCTGATTCTGCAAGGCACATGTGAATTATTAATGTGAA